CACCTTCCTTCACCCCTTTGGGACTCATGCCCTGAAGTTGTCCACAGTCACCACTCCTCTCTAGTGTGTCCCTAACAGTTTCACTTGTTGTTTTTGTTTTAGTAAAGTTAAAGGAAAGTGGATATATCTTAAGCTTGTTTTTCTCTTCAGGTGGAAATGTAATAGACCAAGAGGGTGATACATTGAAGGAAAAACAGTGGAAAGTGTACTGTGGAAGTAAAGCCTATTCCTGTTTAGTGCAGCAGACTCTGTGTGGAAAGGATTTATCTTCAGACACCTGGACCACTTTGCTTTTTTGTGTTGCCCACCTGGTCTCTGTAAGCAGTTTGCTGTGACTTGTGACCAGGATCACCTCTCTGGTCTAATAGCTCAGAGACGTGCTGACACTTGCTCTTCTAAAAAAGTATGGCAGGTTACTGCCAAACTACTGCTGCTGTTTTTTTTTTTTTTATTGTATCTTTATTAATTTCAGAGAGCGGAAAGGAGAGGGAGAGAGATAGAAACATCAATGATGAGAGAGTCATTGATCGAGCCCACAACCCGGGCATGTGCCCTGACTGGGAATCGAACCCTGATCACCTGGATCCTAGGCTGACGCTCAACCGCTGAGCCACGCCCGGCCGGCTGTTCTTTTTGAGATCTCATGTGAGATGGGGGAGCACTTAAAGAGTGGGAGCACAAACTTGAGGATTTTTATAAGAATTAGTAAGCAACCAAAATTTAAAAAGAAAAAAATCAAAACCATCAGTTTGTTTCCAGCCTCCTAGAAGTACACAGAGTTCAGCCTCCATAGCTCTGTGGAAAGCTGATGGAGTCAAACCAATTTACTTTCCCGCTCTGGTCAGAAGGAAGATGGCATATAAGGGGAAGCACTGAGAGAACATGTATCAATCAGAGCACAGCTTCGGGGGGTTTTCCTATGATGCTGCTTGTTGGGATTGTGGGAGACAGAGCTCAAAGGAGAGGCTTCTTACCAGTAAGGATTTGGGGCCTGGGGAGGGCATGAGGGGTTCAGGTTGACCCTGAGGTGGCTTTTGGACACTGGGAGACCTGAGAAGTGGCCCATGTCCCTTAACTCTGTGAATCCTGTTTCCTCATTCGCTTTCCTTGCTTATCTTATGAGATGGTTCTGAGGATCAAGCAAGACAGCACACGTTGAGGAATTGTGAAAGCATGGAGGGCTATGGGCTACACACGAGATTCCAGAAGGAGCTTTAGAACCATTCCCCACAGCCAGTCTGTCAGCTGGCTCTTCTGATTCCATCACCCACATCTCTCTGAACTTGTCTTCTTTCCACCGCTCTGCCACCGCCTAGAGCAAGGCGCCCACTGCCACCCCCTGGCTCAGAATCCCGGCAGGCGCCTTCTAACTGCTCTCCCTGCCCCTCTAACCCATTCAGCATGACAGGAGAGGGATGGTTATAAATATGTGTGTAACTAATATCCTCCAGTAGTTTTCCATTGCCTTTCAGATACTTTGCCATGGCCTGTACCTCTGCAGCCTGTCCCACCCCTGCTTTCTAGCTTCACTCCATCTTCAGTCCACCCACCCTCCCCAGCTCCCCCTCCTCCACTCCTTAGCTTCCCTGTCCCCTCCTCCCTCCATGAGGCTCTGCTCCTTGTTATTTCCCCCTCAGCCTTCACTCCATGTCAAAGCACTTAGGCTGCTGGTGTTTGTTTTAAATTGTGCTGAAATACACATTATGTAAAATTTATAGTCTTTGCCATTTTTAAGTGTCCAGTTCAGTAGTGTTAAGGACATTCATTTTGTTGGGCAAACAGTCTTGCAAAACAGTAACTGTAGCCATTAAACAGCAGTTCTCCATTCCCCTTTTCCCACCCCCTGGCAACCACCATTGTCCTTTCTGTTTCTGTGAATTTGATTACCCTAGGAACTTCATGGGATGGAATCATACAGTATTTGTCTTTCTGTGACTGGCTCATTTTATTTAGCATAGTGTCCTCTAGCCTCATCCATGTGGTAGTATGTGACAGGATTTCCTTCCTCAGGCTGAATCATACTCTGTTATATGTGTGTACCACATTTTGTTTTTCCATTCACCTGTTTATAGACACTTGGGTGGTTTCCACCTTTGGCTGTTGTGAATAGTGCTGCTATGAACATGGGTGTTCAAATATCTTTTCAAGATTCTGCTTTCAGTTCTTTTGAGTATATACGCAGAAGTGGAATTGCAGGATCATATGGTGGTTCTGTTTTTAATTTTGAGGAACCACCATACTGTTTTCCACAGTGATTGCACCAGTTTATATTCCCACAAACAGTGCACAAAGATTCTAATTTATACACACCCTCATCAACACTTGTTATTTTCTATTTTTGTTTTCCCCCCCGAATTGTAGCCATTCTAACGCGTGCGAGGTGGTGCCTCACTGTGGTTGCGGCTTGCATTTCCCTGATGGCGGGGATGTTGAGCGCCTTGTCATGTACCTGTTGGCCATTGGTATGTCTTCCTTGGAGACATATCTGTTGAAGCCCATTGAATAGATCTTCTTTAATATGGTTGCTTGTGTTTGTTGTGGTAGATTTCTTTAGCCTCTGGTTTTTTAGTTTAGAGAATTTGATGTGTACTCACTAAGCTCCAAAAGGGCAGGGCCGTGCCTGCCTTGTTCGTTGCCGGCTCCTCACTGCCCAGCTTGGAGCCTTGAACATGGTTTATTGGTCGATGAGAAGTGTGCAGGTAGCTCTGGACAGCGAAGGAACTAAACAGGGCGTGAATTCATACCGCCCATTCTTGTTTCAGGAAGGATTTAAGGCTGTGGCCACGTCTCTGGAACCATGGCACTTGGGGGAAGAATGGCAGGTGACCTGAATAAGCTTTAAAATGGATAATCCAGTCTTGATAGTAGTGATTTCCCTGCTTCTGGACTGTGCTTTTCTTGGTTTGGTGCAACTCCCATCTTGCCTAATGACGCTGGTCTTGATGATGAAAGTGCATGTGTTTAGTAAGTTTACAGTTTCAAAATACGCTGCTGTCTACTTAGTTTCCTTTGATCCTCTCTCCTGAAGAAGGCAGAGAAAATGTCATCCGGGCTGTACAGATGGACGAGGGCAGGGAGGGGCTGAGCCCCGCACCCATCTCTCCTCCCACCGCCAGTCTCCCCTGGTCCTCAGGGCCTGACCCCAGGCCTCGGCCCTTGGGAGGGTCAGCTGCCTAGTCTCAGCAGCTCTCCATCCCTGACTGCCCTCGCCCTCCTGCCCTCGCAGCTCCTCACCTGGGTCACCGCGACAGCTCCCTAACTGGTGCCTTGACCTCCAGGCACCATGCTGTTCACTGCTGCCAGGCTGAACTCTCCAAAGCCCACACTTCATCATTTTCCTGTTGAATTCAAATTCTTCGATGTCTCCGCCTTGCCTTCGGGATAAAGTCCACACCCTTTCACCAGGCACCCAGGCCATTCACCTACCATGAGAGCCCCCACCCCGGTTCCTGTTGCACTCCAGTCTCATTCCCTGCATCCTTTGCCGATGCCCCCTCCTCTGCCTAGGATGCCCCCATTACCACGACCACCCCTACTTATTCCTGGGTTTCCGGTTCACCCTGGCCTCCTACCTCACCGCCTTCACCCCAGCCCTAGCCAGGTCCCCGCATGCCTTGGCTCCTGTTGCTGTGTTTACCTCCTGCTACCAAGTGCCTGAATGTAGGTAACAGAATATTTATTTGTCAGTGTCTCTGTGGATCTGAGCACTCTGGAGCCGGGGCAATGTCTTCTGTCCGTATTTCAGCGGTTAGCTCAGTGCCTCTCACAGAGTAGGTCTTTGTGGAAAGGAGGAGGGAGAGGAAAAAGGGAAGTTTGTCTGATTTCAGAGTTCATGTGTTCCCCGTCCTTGCCACCCCCCCCACCCCCCACCCTGCCCACTGTCACATTCTCCCAGTGCAGGGTGGTGGAAGCCGTGGGTTGACTCTCAGTGACCCAATGGGCTCTACTTTGGGTTCTGGGCCACCCAGAAGCTCACTTACCTGCTGGTAACTATCCCGGCAGAGAGATGACTCATGTGTGTGACTCAGCGGAATGCAGCACAGCTAGAAGGGCGGCCAGTGTGTCTGCTGGCTGGAGGGAATTTAAATCTAGGCCCAAGTTCACAAACTTGCAACCCTGAGGCCTGCTAACTCAAATGTGGATGTACGTCCTCTGTCCACAGAGAAAGAGACTGGACTCCCCGAGCTTCATAAGACTTATATATCTGGGATTCTAATTGATTGCTATTAAATAATATTTTAATAAACTACCATTTATTGCATGCTTACCATGATTATAGGCACTGTGATAAGCATCTTGCCTACAAATTATCTCATTTTATTCTCGTAATAGTGTAATTCTCCCAACATCGACAATAAAAATAATAGCAAATACATATATAGCAGATACTATTCTAAGAAACTTGCATTTATTAAGTCATCTCTCACAATAACCTTATGATACAGACACTGCTGTTATCCTCATTTTATAGATGAGGAAACTGAGGCACAGAAAGGCCACATATTAGAGGCGCCCAGAGTCACATAGGAAGTAAATGACAGAGCCATGATACCAACTTGGGCTTCTGAATCCACACTCTTAACCCCTGTGTTATGCCTCCTTGATGAAGTATAACTGCAGTCCTGTTTATAGAGGAGGAAACTGCGGCTCAGAGAGGTTGGTCACTTCTCCATAGTCACACAGCCAGGGAGTGATCAAGATTGGCTGTCTCCAACCCCTGGCTTGTGACCACTGCACTTTCCTGCCTAGACTCAGGAAATGGAGCCATCACAAATTGGGATGTGCTTGGTTCCCCTTAGCCTTCCCCATTGGCACTTTTCCAGGGTCAAGTCCAGAGGTAGGATTCTAGGGCAGAAACTCTTTCTTCTAAGTCTGGGGTTTACATTACAGCAAAAGGAGAGCATCAGTGGCACATTTTCCCTCAGCTCTCCTTTCAGTTTTGGGTCCCAGAGCACTTCCTCAGCCCAGGGATGCTGACGTGGCTCTTCTTGCCTCCTCAGACAGTGAGACCGTGCACTACCACTACGGGCCGAAGGACCTGGTCACAATCTTGTTCTACATCTTCATCACCATCATCTTGCATGCTGTGGTTCAGGAGTACATTTTAGACGTAAGTGATGCATCTAGATTCCAAGACCAGAAACTGGGGCATTGCCTGGGTCACAGGAGCTCACGTTGGAGGAGCTCTGAACCTTTTCACTCCTAATTTTCGTGCCTGGGTTGGTCCTATTGACTGGACGTCTCTCCCACACTTTGGTCCCTGTCCCTCTCACAGGCTTCTTCAGCCAGCACAGGAGACAGCAGTATTTATTACATGGGAGAGTGCTGCCTAAAATCGGACAGGACAGCGTCCGAATGGTCTGTCATACGTAGTTTAGTTGGTAGTGTTTTCTTTACAGCTAGGCTGAGGACATTAATCTTGCTGCTTTCTCTAAATGTTTGCTTTACACTAAGCACTATATGCACACAGTAGGCTTACACTGAATAACTTGGATTGTGGCTGCCTTCAAACTTCAGCCTGCCTGTTACCAGTACACTCGTGTATTAATATGTGGGATTCTCTTTATTCTTTAGAAAATCAGCAAACGGCTTCATCTCTCCAAAGTCAAACACAGCAAGTTCAATGAATCTGGACAGCTGGTTGTCTTTCATCTCAGCTCAGTGATATGGTGCTTCTACGTGGCGGTGACGGTGAGTGGTCCTTGTGGCTCTTCTTGGATCGCTGATAGATCACTGCAAAGGGTGCAGCGGGGAAGGAAAGGAGTGAGGTGCTGTATGGAAACTTTGGGCCATTTTTTAGAACTGGAGCTATTTTTATATCCTCACGGTCTTGTGAGAGAGGGGCCAAATGTCATAAATGCCATTTTACAGCTGGAGAAAGTCATCTTGTCCAAAAATAAACACTTTTGTAGTTATTATGTGAGGTTACAACGATGGTACTGTATATCTGGATAGCACTGTATCATTTTGCAGGACCCTCCAGCAAACACTATTCTGTGAGACAAGTTCATGTTCATTCGGGCATCAGTGTTAAGGATGCAGAAACCCAAGCTCAGGTCCTGCCGTGTGCCCATAGCCATGTGCTTTCTACGTAGCCAGACTGCGGCCTGGACTTGGGTCTGGTTCTAAGTCAAGTGTGCTTTCTGTTTTACCGCATCTGCCTCCTGCAGGCAAGGCCAGCATCCTGTGAGGGTCAGCGCCATTCCCACAAATGCCTGGTGGACCAGACAAGTTATCTGTCTCCCCATTGTACACAGTAGGGCTCTTATTTCAGGCACCCTTTGATACAGAGGAATTCCTTCCAGCAAAGGAATGTGGACAGTCCTTTGGGGTTCACTGTAACGAGACCCAGCCTGTCCTGCTAGGAAGTGTTTAATTAGAATCCCTCCCACACCACTTCCCAGCCTGGAGCACCACCTGTCTGCAACCTGGTCTCCTTCTCAGGAGCTGGAATTGTCCTGAGAAATCCAGGCCTGGGGTTGGAAAACTCAGCAGCCCCTTGTCCTTTGAGAAATTTCCCTCGCTGCTTCCTCCTTTCCCTTCTTCCCACAGTGACAGTGATAAGCATTCACATCCTGAGGAGCTCTGTGCCTCCAGAGATGGACGTTCAATTCATCTTCTCAAAGAAGTCAACATGCTTTTTCGTACATTGCTTTTATTTCCAGCATCATTTTTATAATCCCAGAACAGTTCTCCTGAACAGAGCACTGGGAATTTTCAATGAGGGACCTAAGACTTCTGTCCTCCCAAGCATGGCTGTCGTGTCACTCCGTCCCAGGGGTGGACTTACAGGCAGCTGTGTGCGCAGCGCCCCCAGCTGTTGTGCACACGTCCTGGCCTCAGGAAGTCTAGGTACTTCTGATCGCATACCTCTCCCCAGCTCTTGGTGTGTGGCTCGCATCTGCCTCTGGAGACCCTGAGCTGCTTGGAGGCAGAACAGCTTGGGGACCACATTTCACTAGTCTTTCAGCAGCAGCATTGCCTCATCTCCGAGTGAATCATTCTTACCCTTTCTGCCTCCCCCTAGGCTCCACGCAGCTGTGACACATTCAGACCAGATTGGAGGCCGGTGGCCAAGTGACTTAACACCCTTTCAGGGTGTGAAATGCTCAACTGCTCTCTCTCTGCTTCTTTCAGCTTCAAGGGCTTGAAAATGATGATACTAATTAGTCTGAGAATGTAGCACTTTTGAGGGGGAAAGCTCATAACAGGCTTTTATCATGGTGACAGCGGGCTCCCCACTCAACATCTTGGACAGGAAATGGTGGGGGGACACACAGACCCTGGAGTGCTCCAGTCATTCCACCTCCTGACGCCGTGTAGCTCCTGGCCCCACCTACGCCATCTTTCTCACAGGATGTTTCTGTGTGGAATGAGACTGGCTAAAGAAGAAGGGAAAACAGTTTTGTAAAAGGAGTGAAAACAGCAGTTTTATTAAAAAATCACATTTTTATAAATGTGTTAGGATGCACATTTTTCTTGGTCCTATTTCTTTGACCCTCCACAGTCAGTTCATCAGCAGGTCCTGCCGACCCCACTCCCACAACACACTGAGGTTCTGTCGGCTGCTTTCCACCTGCACCGCCACCCTCAGTCCAGTGCTCTCTCCAGGGGGACTGCCCCCAGGGCACGTTTGGCCACTTGCTACTGGCATCTCATGGATGGAGGCCAAGGATGCTGCTGAATATCCTGCAGGGCACACGACAGTCCCCACAACAAAGACTTACCGATCCCAGATGCCATTAGTGCCAGGGTTGGGGAACTCCAACCTGTAGTTCAAGCCACCATTTCTTCCTTCTAGAAGGAGGCTGTTTCTGCTCCTGTACTCTCCCACCCTAGTCTCTTTCTGCTCAGCCAGACAGATCTTTTCAGAACATAAATCAGATCATGCATTTTTCTGCTTAAAAGTCCTGTCCCACTTACAGTGAAATCATTTTCTTCCCAACTGCTGTGCTCTGGGCCTTGCCCGCCTCCTCTCACTGGCCCCAGCCCCACTGTTCTTCCCTGTGCCCCTCCAACTCGCCTGCCTCCTGGGCTTTGCTCAGTGGTTCTTCTGGTCAGATCCTCCATCCCCCTGCCTTCCCATGCGGGCTCTGTTTTGCTACCAAGGCCCTACCTACTGGCGCCTCCTCAGAGACCCCATCTAAGGGTCTGTGTTTTCTGCACTGTGCCCATCGCCGTGGTGCTTTTCTTGTTCGCATCAGGATTCTCTGCTGCCTGTCTCTGCCCAGCTCTTGAGTTGCTCGGTGAATATTGGTTTTGAGGGTGAATGAACTACAAGTGTATCTTCTTGCTCCAGCCTTCAACAGTTTTTAAAGTACTGGATTGTTTTTATAAACATCGTAGATGATCACTTTTTAAAAAGTAAGCAATACATGAAAGTTGAAAAGTGGAAGCAAAAATTTACCCCAGATCCTTCCCTCCAGAAATAACCAGTTTGTTTGGTGTTTGAGTCAGACGTTTCTCTGCAGTTACACAGAGAGTGATGGGAGCGCGGCTGGACCAACCAACAGTGTTATAAGAATGTCACCCTCCTACTTTAATTTACCTTTGAACTGCTCTTCATTGGTCAGAACAAAACACACACACACACACACACTGTACTGAGGAAAGCAGGGTGGGTGGGCATCTGTTCTCCCTGCCTGAGCCTTGGGATGTCTCACTTCGTATTTTAAACTCAAGTCCAGAGCTCGGTGCGAACCTGGTAGAGGGAACACCTGTAATGCTGGGGCTTGACTCAGGGCTGATTTCTGCTGATGGACTGTTCGCTCAGAGTAACGCCTTAGTGCGTGGCTGGTTCTGAGGACAAATGTTACAAGGTATGTCTGAGTCTAGGAAGCAACTGGCTGTTATGACGGGATCGCGCCGTGTCTGTGGATCTTCTTGTTTATACACCAGAAATGAAGGCTGCAGGGGAAGGGGAGAGATTGCTCTAGCTTGCTCAGGCCTCACTTAGCTCTTAGGTCGATTTGTAGAACCAGAAGAGGAAAAAGGATTTCAGAAGCTCCCCAGACTCTCTGCTGGTGCCTGTTGGTGGGTGGGGCTCAGGGTGGGTTACAGGTGCTCCCTCTGCCACACTTGGCCCCCTGAGCTCAGTGCTTGGATGCCTGAGCCCTGAGGGTGCCCCAGCCCTGGCCGCCCTCAGGCAGTTGCCTGGCCTGGAAAAGGCTGTTCTCGAGGCAGTGAGTCATTTGTCCTCTGGCTCCTCCTGCTCCCTCCCCCAACCCCTCCTGTACATTCCCCAAGGACTGGACATTCACAAGCAGGCAGCATTTTTCTTTGCTTGTTGGCCTCACAGTGCTGACCTCCTTGTCTCCTAAGCAGAGGGGCCAAGCTGAGGAGGGTTCCTGTTTAAAATCGCAAGATCAGCTGTCAGCTGGGCTTTAACTTCTCTCAGTGCTGCCTCTCTTGGCCAGTCTCTTTTGGGGCAGAAATTCCTCTCCTACCTCAGTCCCAGAAGTACCATTTCCCCCCTTAAATACATCTCAGTCCCAGAAGTACCATTTCCCCCCTTAAATACATGGCTGCTCCCTCTAGGAACGTCATCACCTCTGATTTCCACGGGATCAGGTAAAGAGAGTGAGTCCGACGTTCTGGGGAAGGCGACTGTGTCGGTGTAGGAAGGCGTTTGTACCACCCCCAGATTCCCAGAACCTTCATTCTACAGGCATGTCCTGAATGCCACATGGCAGGCACAGTACTAGAGACTGTCACACAAACAAGCTGTCACATTTATTTCTAACAATAACTCTGGGAGGGTAAGGATTTCTATTCTCATTTTATAAATGAGGCAGCTAAAACTTAGGCACTGACCTGCTTGGAGGATGGATGCAGCTAGTGAGAGCCAGGCCAGCCTTCAGGGCAGGTTTCTGACCCCCGCAGAGCTCTGCTTACTCTGTCACAGCAAAGACCCCAGTCATGTGCCTGCCAAGTCCCCCACGGAGAGGCCCTTCATTTCACGTTTCCTGTTCCTTCCTCTCTCTGGCAGCTGGGGGTTAGCTGCGTTCCTGACCCCTGACCCCTGGGCCTGCCTAGGGCCCCAGCAGGTCTTACCTTCACATCTCTGAATGCCGTCTCTTCTCACTGCTACAGGAAGGATATTTAACCAACCCAAGAAGCCTCTGGGAAGACTATCCACATGTGTACCTCCCGTGAGTATTCGCATGATCTGGTCTCCAGGGAAGAGCCAGCTGGTTCTCTGGCTTCTTCCACCCAGAATGTGTCCAGAACAGCACGGAGCCAGCTGGCGTGAAGACCCGTCATACCCCGAGCCTGTTAGGGCACAGCCTGGTGGAAGGCAGACTGTCTGGGTGCGTCTTCCTCCCAGTCTGCTGGACTGGAGACTCCCACAATGAAGTGTTGTCTGCACCGGACCCTGTCACAGGGGAGTGTCTCAGCTCCGCTGCTGGACAGAACACCATAGGCTGGGGGGCAGGGGGTGGGTATGAACCACAGAAATGTACTTCTCACAGTTCTGGAGGCTAGAAATCCAAGATCAAGGTGCCTGCAGTTCCAGTGCCTGCTGAGGGCCCACTTGGTGTCATAGACGGCATTTCTCTCCCTGGGGCCCACAAGGCAGAGTGGAGAGGGAGCTCTCTGGGGCCTGTTTTAGGACATTAATCCCACTTATAAGGGCTCTGCCCCCATGACCAAGTTGTTTTCTAAAGGCGCTGCCTTCTGATACCATCACACTGGGGAAGAATTTTGAAGGGACATGGACATTCCATCTATAGCAGGTTCCTAAACCACGTGAGGCACAGAAGCAGAGCATCTCCATCAGGTTCTCTGGCTTTGACCTTGGTGACCAGTCACACAACACATCTTCCCTCTGACTGTCGGTGGCTGGTGCCTGTCAGAAGCGGCATCCATTCCTCTCCTGCTCTGACGAGGCACTAGGAGGGCAACAGCTGGGCCACTGTCCCTCGGAGGCCACTCACTTTCCCTAAGACCCTGTAGAATAACGACAGAGACTTAAGCTGAGTCACATCCTTCCTTTGCTACTTAGGTGCTTTCATTTCTTAAGTATGTTAAAACCACCCTCTTCCCCACTGACAGTTCTCTGGAGTCGGCTCCCCCCATCCTCCCTCTTCTGGGCTGCAGACCCTCCTCTTCTCTCTTTTCATCACTTTCGTTTTTGCATTTTTTTTTACCCTCACCCAAGGATATGTTTTATTGATTTTAGAGAGAGAGGAAGGGACAGGCAGAGAGAGAAACATCGATGTGAGAGAGAAACATCCATCGGTTGCTTCCCATACGTACCCCAGCCGAGAATTGAACCCACAACCTTTTGGTGTAAAGGACAATGCTCCAACCAACTGAGCCACCTGGCCAGGGCTCATTTTCGTTTCTTTCTGTGGACTTCTGTGTCCCTCTGAGTGGTCTAGCCTGGGGTCACAGGGCTGGCTGACCTCCCTCCCTCGCTTTCTCCGGGACCAGCTCCTCACATAGTCCTGGCCTTGCCCTTCCTTTCTCTGCATGACAGGCACCGTAGGGACATTTTCCTCCATCCCTCCCATGTGACTCGCTCCCTTGTCTCCAGCTTCCAGGTGAAGTTTTTCTACCTGTGCCAGCTGGCCTACTGGCTGCACGCACTTCCTGAGCTATACTTCCAGAAGGTACGGAAGGTGAGTCCTCACTTCCCCCTCTTGCAGCCATGCTTCTTCCCTCCCCACTGCTGTTCCCAGCTGTCCCCTGTTCCTTCCTCTAGAAGCCCAAAGTAGTAATGGGGGGTGTTGGCAGGTTGAGTAAAATGCTGAGCCAGCACCTGTCGAAGTCCCCAGGAAGACCTCTTCAAGAAGCCACCAACATGCTTGACATGTGTGGCTCTGTGGGAAATCTGTCATCTTCTGGATGGCAGGTGGAGAGGTTTATGCCTTTCCCACAGACTTTAAAAAAAATAATAAAAATGGCTTCCCTCTGAATCTGAATCATTTCCAGAAGCTCCGTTCCCCAGTCCCTGTCCCTTTCTCAGCCCAACCCCACCCTCTGACTGTGGACCTGAAGCTGCTGCCTGGCCCTCAGTGGGCAGCTGCCTGGTGCACGGGCCTCCCGCCTGACCTGGAACCGTCTGTTAGGGCAGCCCAGCCCTGCGGCCGTGGGGAGGTGGCCTGGCCCGCCCTCAGCCCTCCATACTTCCCGTTCCTGCGCCTGCCGCTGGGGAGCCAGCACACTCACTGTGGCTTCTCTCGTTTGCAGGAGGAAATTCCCCGCCAGCTGCAGTACATCTGCCTGTACCTGGTCCACATAGCCGGAGCGTACCTCCTCAAGTGAGTGAGACCCGGGCTGCCACATCCCCCTGCCCTCTTGTGTTCGAGCATCTCCCACACATTCATTCAGTTAGCAGGCATTTATTAGATGCCTCCTGTGTGCCCAGCACCGGGCTAAGGAAATACAAAGATAGATAGGAGGTTCCTTTGTCTTCAGTGGAGCATCCTCAGCGTATTAGGGGAGCCAGTTAAACACAGTAGGAGGATGGTTCAGTGCCACGCACTGTACTGTGATGTGTCATCTGCCAGGGAAATTCAGAACCCAACCCAAGACAGCCAGGGAGGGCTTCCCAGGGATGTTGGCACTTGATCTGTGGCTCTGCAGGTGGGAGGCGGCCTGAGGCTGGGCTCCTGCCTTGCACATCCACTGGCAGAAGCTGCCAGAACTCCCTTTCCTTCGATTTGTCACGAAATGTAGAGTGGCCGCTGCTGGTTGTGCAGAAGCCGAGAGAGTTGCTGCAGTGTTTGGCCTGGAGTGTCCCTCATGAAAAGATTCGGATTGATGGACAGGATATGTCATTGCTAATTTGGTTTTTTCTTGAGCATTGTCATGCAGGCCAGGAGAGCATCCTGGTCTTCCCTAGGCCGGCATTTTGAGCACTTGTGATGTGTAACTTTCTGCTAAGTGACCTGAGCTCCTGGGGCCTGTCATCTCCAAGGTCCTCACAACACATCCTGTGAGAATGGTGGACTTGGGACAGTCAGAGGAAGGCAGCTCTCAGTCTGTTCTCCTGCCTCGGGGGCCTTGGACAGGGAGGATTCCTGGATGGGACTTGAGGAGCAAAGGCTGTTGGTGGGGCTGGCTCCACTCTTGTGTTGGATGCTCATGTGTCACATGTAGAATGGGTCTGAGGAAGCCAGTCTGTGCCGTCCTCCACCAGTGTGTGATGACGTGGTGAGAAGGGCCAGGCAGGAACACGGAGGAGAGCTTCCTGCTGCTGTTGGGTCCCTTCCTCCTCCCAAAAATGTGAGATGCTCCAGGATCCATTTTTCTCTACATCTGACGTGTCCCAGGGAAGGACAAGGACAGGTGTCTGACCCTGTTTGCACCGAATCCTGCGAATGCTTGTTTTGGAATGATAAGTGGTCTGAGAGGGCAGGGAACAGCAGAGCCTCCAAGATCACAGCTCCCCGCTCCCAGGGAGGCGCACACCGGGTCAAGGTGCGCTGCCTCTCCCTGTGAGCCCCTTTCCCTCTGACCTTGTTCTAGGTTTCCAAAGTGAGTGCGGGGAAAGGTGTGCCCTTGGCTGCAGGGTTCCCAAGGAAGACAGACCTTTGAGATGTCTGATGGTGTGGGCTGTGGTTTTGGTAAAGAGCTTGGCTTTTGCAGGCCTTCGCTCACTCAACACAGACCTGAGCCCTCCCGTGGGCCAGGGCCTGCCTCAGGAGCTGAGTTCCATCTGGGTGAATGCAGACAGGCCCTGCTCCCCTGGGGTATCTGTTCTAGCAGGAGGCAGACCATAAACAAGGAAATAAGTCAGTAGGGTTTCCCATGGTGTTGAGGTGGAGAAAATAACGCAGGGCAATGTAACAGCGCCGTGTACTCTTGGCACCTCGGGTGTGGTGAGGGGGAGCCGCTCTGAGGAGGTGGCTCAGGTTGAGGCATGAATGGCAAGAGCCAGGCACATGGAGATATGGGGGGAGAGCTGCACAGGTGGAGGGAACAGTAGGCACACAGCCCTGAGGTGGGAGGGAGCATAAAGCCCAGTGTGACGAGTACAGAAAGTTATGTTGGACTTTCTAGGCCGTGTGAAGACATTGGCGAGTTCTCAGGTCCTTTTCTTGACCATCCTCAGGGTCTGGTGACTTACTTTGCACTTCTTTGGTCTCATTGTATGGAATCAGCTGGACCCTTATTTATGACCACCCATGAGAGGGCTCCCACATTATATCATGACTTCCTGCATGTTCAGTGGGATCTGTGATTTCACTTTGCATTTGAACGGCAGCTGACTGACTGCAGCAAATGGCCTAAGAAAGAAGCAACATCATGCCTGGAATCAAGCAGAGCGGGTATCTGAGTGGTGCTGTTTTCTAAGAGTTCCGTTCACTAGCATAGATTTTTGCATTAGGTTGATGTACCTGTTACCCAGATAATGAAGAATTAGCGGGAATCCCTGATTCTCCACGCAAAGCTCAGCATCTTGTTCTGGGCACCTTTTATGTGCTTAGTCCCTGGACAGATGATAAAGGCGAGGTGACAAGCACTGTGCAGAGCCTCAGCCGGGTCACTGTGGGAGCGAGTAGGGCGTCTGACCCAGACAGGACAGGCAGAAGGCCAGGGGGTTCAGTATTAGGAAAAATTAGTGAGGGTGACAGCAGGACTGAACCCTGGGGGATGAGGCAGGGCTAGCCCGGGAAGGTGGAGTGGAGAGCGCAGCCGGGGGCATTGGGCCCCTCGCCCCTGCTCTCCATGGGTCTCGGGGGGACTGTGAGGCTCGTCTCTCCTCCGCAGCCTGAGCCGCCTGGGCCTGATCTTGCTGCTGCTGCAGTACTCCACCGAGTTCCTCTTCCACATGGCCCGGCTCTTCTACTTTGCTGACGAGAACAATGAGAAGCTGTAAGTGGCGAGGCTGGGAGACCAGCCTGCTCAGAGGTGCAGCGGGCAGGGGAGGGTCCTGCCCTGGGTGTCAGCTGCCCCCTTAGCTGCAGGCAGCACCCCCAAGGTTCTTTATTTTCCTGGAACATCTTATGCTAGACATCTCATCCCTCAGCCACCCTTGTACCTTCTTCCCACATGAGGTCACTTCTGAAGAAGTGGGTGAAGTTTCCTCAGGGGCCCTAAGGGCTGCTGTCCTTTCGCCTCTGTGCGCAGGTTTAACGCCTGGGCTGTTGTGTTTGGCGTCACCCGCCTCTTCATCCTCACTCTTGCCGTGCTGGCCATCGGCTTTGGACTTGCCCGCATAGAAAACCAAGCTTTTGACCCCGAGAAAGGAAACTTCAACACCTTGCTTTGCAGGTGAGTTGGGCAGAAGCGCAATACGGTAAATCAGGGCTCCCCGAGAGCTGCCAGGGATGTGCTGAACTTGAGACGGCTTCTGCAGGTCAGGAGGCAGCAGGCCCGAGTCTCCTATGTGTTGATATTTATGGAGATCTCTGGACATTAAGCCTGAGGGGAGAAGAGATACCAGCCTTCCCTTTCCATCAAAACCATCCTTCCTGGCAGTGGCCCAAAAAGACTAGTCAGGGCCTCAGTCCCCATGGGAATCCCCCCACCGTCATGGTGCTACGTAGGTTCCTCACCCAGCCCCTCGGTGATCATTACAGCTACTCTTGGGCTCCTAACAGCTGTGTTCTCAGCAGACTGGCCAGTGGCCTCCTGTGGCAGCAGGGAGGCCGCTGTGTTTCCGTGAGACCCTCTGGCCTGGGAGGATGTGTGCTTGGCCAGGGCTACACAGTGTTTAGGTGCCATGCTAAATGAGAAGCCACTCTAGAGCTACTGCTGCTGTATCATCATCATTTGAATTCTCCCAGTTTATATGGAGCTGACATGAGCTATGCTCTGTGCTATGTGTACAGAAGAGATAGGCCATGGGCCCCAGCTGGGCACGGGGACAGCGGACTATACTATATTGCCTCCTTTCCTATTTCCCTCGCTCTGTCCATCCATCACCACCCTGAAACCTGCTGGAGCAGAGACGAGTCTTGTGTTCTCCCTTGTGGTGGTGGGGTGGGGATATGCCGGGGTGAGGATGATGGGCCATGAAGTCAGCAGGGTTCCTGATCTCAGAAATCCCCTGCCCTGGGGCTGTGGCCTGAGCCCCCCTGAGCTCCCACTCTGCTTGTCCGCAGGCTCTGCGTGCTGCTGCTGGTGTGTGCTGCCCAGGCCTGGCTCATGTGGCGCTTCATCCACTCCCAGCTGCGGCACTGGCGGGAATACTGGAACGAGCAGAGCGCCAAGCGGAGAGCCCCAGCTGCCCCCAGACTACCAGCCAGGCTCCTCAAGAGGGAATCCGGTACGTGCCAGGGCCTTGGGCAGGCGGGGCCGAGTCTGTCTGGGGTGGGTGGGAAGGAGCCAGGGCGGGATCCTTGGCCTCTGCCCAGACCAGTCCTGTGGCCCTCCGTCTGGACTCCTTCCCTGGGCCTGGGGCTCCTTGGCTCCTGCTGTGGCCTGACTGGCACGTGGCTGGGTGTGGGCCAAGGACAAACTGTGGGCAGGGCTGGCCCTGACTAGGCGGAGCCCTCTGGCAGTGGTGGGGCAGGACCGTAGCTGGGTGGGGAACTCTGGCAGGAAGCGTGTCCTCAGGGTGGCTTCTGGGTGCCAGCCAAGTTCTGCGCCTGTTCTCTGGGCGGCATAGCTCTGTCCTCACCTGCCCTCTGCTCTGACCATGGCCCACCCCTGCCTCCCAGGCTGCTGGCTCCTCTTCTGTCTTCAGGAGTGATACAAGATGACCCAGTATAAGGTGGGCGCAGGGGAGGGACACCCACTTCTCCTTGGGCCCTGCCACACTTCAGTACCCACCTGCCCCTCTGGACCCGGGGCGCTACCAGCCCTGCACTTTCTGTCCAGCCTGGAGGCCTGTCTGCACCAGGATGTTTTCTGACTCATCTGCCCTTCTCCAGGTGTGGCATGCTTGGCATTGCTCCTGTGTTAGAGCAGACACGTGCATGGCTGGGCGTGCTGAGGAGCCAGGCCTGGCTGGGTGGATGGGGTGTGGGGCAGCAGCCAGATGTGCCTCTTTGACTTGGAGCCAGCACATAGACATGTTTTTGACAATAAAACGACTTTTTCTTCTGCCCTAATTTTTCTGCCAGAGGAGTGTCAGGCATCTGAGTAAGGCCTTTTCCCTACAGCCTCTCCACCTCCTCCCCTCAGTCCTCAGCTTCCCAGGAGTTGTTGCTGACATGGGCAGCTGCCCTGCAGGGGCCTGAAGGAAACTGAGGACACTGGCAGCGGCTGAGTGATTGCAGGAGGGATCTGGCCTAGCCTCAGGCTGGGCGGCAGGCTCTCCTGGTCCTGGGTTTCTGTGGGTCATACCAGCCCCTCCCATAACGAATAGTCAGAGACCAACCACTTCAAATGGAGCCACTGGTAGTAAGATTCTGGGGAGAGCAGGAGCCCCCAGGGCAGTCTCCCGGGTCCCCTTGACTCACCTTGTGGGCAGTGGCCAGGCCAGGCTGCCTGGGCCCACCCTCCTCTCTCATTCCAGCCCAACAGAAACACCATGTCTGTCTGTCTCCCTTTACTTCCTAGGTTACCACGAAAATGGAGTAGTGAAAGCAGAAAATGGAACCTCCCCACGGACTAAGAAACTCAAGTCTCCTTAAGGCCAAAGTGCTGAGAACAGGAATCCTCTTTGAGGGCCAGGAGGGCAGCAGGAGCCCAGGCCTCCGTCACTGCCTCCCCTTCCTGCTCCTGACGCTCCAGCTCAAACAGCAGGAACCTGTCTTTAAACAGGGCTGTTTCTCTTTCTTTCTTCTTGGCTTTTTCTCTTTCTTCCATAAACCATCCTCAATAAAACCAAAAATCTTCCTCTCCTCTCCCTCAGCCACTGCTGGCCTCAGCTCTGTGCTGGTGTTCATGGTTACCTTTCTGCTGGCCTCTTCTGTCTCGTCCTTCATGGCTGCTGCTTTCTTTTTCCTTCTTTTACTGCATTGTGCAATTTTTCTGTGTCTTGATTTTTACCATAAAGAGGGAGCTAAGACTGCAGTCCTGGCCATCCAACCCCAGCATCGGTCCTGGGACCTGTTAAAGTCTAGAAGCCTCAAGCAAGGAGCCTTTGCCCCAGGGCCAGCAGCAGGCCCCCGGTGGTCCCCGTGTGGTCGGGCAGGAAGACGAGAGACCAGCCCCTCAGATCATAGTCTCCTAGGTGCTGATTGACTGACAGGTGTGTGACTCCAATTCTGTGTGCCGCCTCGAGGCCCCGCAGAGCCATTGCTCCTTGTAAATGCTGAGGGGTTTGGCTTCGGGACCTGACAACTTGGTCTAGAGGATGGCATGAACTGGGTCCCATGACTTGAGACAGCCTGCCAGTGGTGGGTCCTGCGTTGGAATCCAGCCTGCCTCGCTCTGCTGGGTAAGTGCCCGATGCAGGACGAGCTTTCCCACTAGAGCGGGAGTAATGTGCTGAGCAGTGGCTCTTCCCGAGAGTCGGAGTCAACCCAGGCCTTTCTTCAGCAGCCCCGGCTGCACCTTTCTCAACCGTTCACCAGCACTCAGAACCAAACCTGCCAGTCGTGGAGACCATCTGGGCCTGTGCTGGTCTAAACCCCAGACCCAGGAGCTCTGACTTCATCTCTCTACCTGCAGGGACACCGTGCCCCGCTGGCCTTAGGCCCGCGGGAGGGTCGCCTGTGCCATTCTCCCCCTGCCTCTTGTTGAGTATTCTTTAGAATTGTCATTGTCATCTGCTGATGTTTGTTGAGCACACCTGTAGCGCTTTAGATGGTATGAACTGGGACAGCTGCTTAGGTGAGCAGCACAGCTGTGCCCAGTTTTCTACCCTGTCCCTCACATAGTCTGGCCCCTCCTCCCTCCCCAAGGCAAGGCCTCCGTGTGCTGATCGGCCCTGTGAGGACCTCCACAGAGGGTGGGGCTTTCAGAGGTCCTGTTTAAGAACTGAACTCTGCCACAGTGCTGGGGGCAGTTCTTGGTGGGTGCAGGAATGTCAGTGTCATTTCATGGGCTGGTCCTCTTTCTGACATCACGCTAGAAGCCAAACCTTAGATTATGATCCAAAAGGGGAAGATGGGTCTTTTCATCGAGGCCATACCCCTTCTCTATGTCACTTGTATCAGAGATGGGTTTTCATTTCCCAGTGACGGGGATTTGTTTCCTGACATTGCAGACCCTCATCTCTGTCAGCAAAAGGTGGCTGCCTTTGGCTTCCGGTTACTTTTAGGAAGTGGGACAGTGTTTTTGAAAGAAGGCATCTCTCCCATCCTTCTCTTAAGCCTCTGGGCTGCAAAGCAGAACCATGGTGAACGGGTGGCCTGGTGGCTGCTGATGGTGGGGCCATTCAGCCAGTAGCCTCCTCCATCCGCCCCAGCAGCCCAGGCACCATCTGGCTGTCTCCCGGCTGCCTGGGCAGTGTGTTCCTGCTCCCTGCAGAGGCAGTGTCCCCAGGTGAGCCCCATTAAACTGCAGCCCTGCCTTCAGCAAATGCACGTGTGCTGCGGGCTGGGGAGGTGCTGAGCGCAGCTCAGGTCCTGCCCTGCAGCAGCTTCCCTCCTGTGCAGAGGTAGTCTAGGTTGTCCGGTTCCCCGAGTCCCCTGCAGGCTCCACGCTGTGTACAATGTAGTGTGCCTTGGAGTTGGGGCCACCACCCCAGTGGCCAGGCAGCTGCGACTCCACAGGGATTGTCCAGTAATGTAAGTAAGATTATTTTCACTGCTCTAAAGACCCGAGACGCGAGGAAGGCTAGCATCTCAGCAGCTGGGCTTGGGAATGATCTGAAGGGAGGGGGTAAGAGGGTCGTCGTGGGGTGCCTGGCACGTTTCTTTCAGAGCAGAGCCAAGTCTTTGGCAGGTTGGCTCAAACCTTGTTGCCAGGGGCTGAAATAACTCAGTCCCACCTCACCCTGTGAGCTCATTGGGCTGGCTCGTCCTGATTTGGCCTCTTTGGCCTCTTCCATCTTAAACACTCCTGTTCCCAGCACGCATGCCATCTGTGGAGGCCCCGTCAGACACCTCCAAGCTGGGGAGGCCACCAGAGCAGGAGGCTCATCTACCTCAGCCGCCGCTGCCCCTCCTTGGAAGCTCAGTGATGGGAAAGATATTTTTACCACCCAGGCTCTGGGAGCTGCACTAATAATAAGTTGCATGTGTCCCTTCTGAAGGCAGTGGACATTCTAGGGGAAGGGGAGCAGGCCTAGCCAGGAGAGCTGCTTCTCCATTCTAGTCAGTGCTAACCCTGAGTGTGTCTGGGCTACCGGAGCGGTGATGTTGCCAAGAGAACCTTTTCTGTTTGAGGGCAGAACTTAACATTTCAGAAACCAAAACAGTCATCTGTGCTCCAGCCTCTGCAGATGCTTCCCTGACTGCAGCCCCTGGGACCCTGGACGCCCCCAAGCCCGGGCTGCTGTTCCAGGGCTGTGTGCTGCTGGGTCTTCTAGGGGGACCTTCTTCCTCGGTTCCCTTTGACCTTTAAGTGGAGAGTAAGAGGTAGGGGCAGAGAGCATCCCCTCCTGAGATGCCTTTAGAATTCGCTGTGTCTTGCCGACCATGTCAAGCTCCAGCTGGGAGCTTAGTTTGGATCTTTCATAGGCCTCAGCCTGCTGGGTGGAGTTCCCAGGCCTGGGTGAGAGAGGGCAGGGAGGCCAGGACGTGACTCCTTGCCTGAGGGCCTCGGAGACCCATGTGAACGGAGGTCCACTCCTGGTCTTCACAGGCCTCTGCTCTTTCCTGAAGAGGGTGTTGAGAGTCGGATTGCTGAGTGGTCTTGATCCCCTCCCCCATGCTGCCTTCCTGGCGCTCAGCCTGTCAGGAGGGACTTGGGCACAACTGCGGAATTGGGTCATTGTCATCACTGACTCAAAACCTAAATAGACTCCCTCTCCGCCCCGGTTGGCCCAGTGAGGAAGCCTTTACCAACCTCTCACTCTGCCCCATTTCTGTGGGAATTTTCATCCACCCAGAAGGCTGAAGGCCCACTGCTGCTCAGCTGCTCAGCTGCCTCGTGTCCCCCACGCCCCACTTGGCGTTTTTATGGCGGTCTCAGAAGCGGGGCCTTGTGGCCCCATGCAGCCCCATGCTCGGCGGCCTGTGAGTTTTGTCCCGAGCAGATAAGAAGTGCCTTACTTGCCGTGTGCTCGCCGGCCTCCGCTGTGCTGTGTAACCAGCTCCCAGCAGCCGGGCTCTAGGGCTGTTGCATGTGCAGCCATGGACACTGGGCCCCAGTTCAGTCACTCATAAAAGGGACACAGATGGTGACAGTTTTGCCTCATTTGCCTCCCCCTCCCCCACTTCCCTGCCATTGTGTTAGGGCCTGTTGTGTGTCCTGTTTCGTCTCTGGTTTCTCCCTGGAGTCAGTTTTCGGGCCTGCCTGGCTGGCTGCAGAGCCAGGGGAGGCCCACTCATGCACCTGTGCCTCACACCTGCTAAGGGAAGCCCAGAGGGCCGGGGGCACTACGCCCGTTTGTGCCTCCAGCGCTGACACGGTGAGCCCTGCTCTTCCAGCCCCACCCCCCCAGTCCCCCAGTTATAAAGAAAGGGACCCTTGCTACAACCTCTTGTGATCTATTTTGCTTCTGGTTGAACCCAAAGTTTCTATGACAAAGGTGTTTACTTTGCAGTCACTAGTGTTAACTCACAGATCCCATTGGACAGGGGGTCCAGGTCGGCTGTTGCAGAACTTCTTTGGGCTCCTAATTCAGTGTTACCTT